AGGACAAAATAGTCTATTAGGTGGATTACCTCACTGGTGCTGATCAGGAAATTTCAGATGGACTGGTTAAGATTACACTCCTGGGGGAGAATGAAACTGCAATCAGGTTAAATATTAAGTTTCAGTTTGGTAGTGATTCCATTTGGGGCCTGCTGTCTCTCTCTCTTTTTAAATATTTTATTTATTTGTCAGAGAGAGAGAGAGAGAGAGAGAGAGCGCAGGAGTGAGCACAAGCAGGCAGAGGGAGAGGGAGCAGCAGCCTCCCCATCAAGCACGGAGCCCAATGCAGGGCTCTCAAGACCTGAACTGAAAGCAGATGCTTAACCGACTGAACCACCCAGGGACCCCACTTTGTCTCTTTTATGTCTGATTACTTCTGTTTACTTAAGTCAGTAGTTATATTAATTATAGGTCAACCAAGCCTCTGGTCCCTCTGAGTAAATGCTATATATAGTATATAATAAAGAAAGTGTGTCCTGAGAAAATAACAATTTCTCCTGATACATAGAAGTTACTGATTAATACAAATTTCAAACACTCTCTGTAAGGCCTTAGAATATGTAGTAAGCAAGGGAATACAGAGTAGTAAGAATTAGATCCTTTGGGGTGCCTGGTAGCTCAATTGGTTAATCCTTAATCATCTGCCCTTGGCTCAGGTCCTGATCCCAGAGTTCTGTGCTCCATCCTTGGTGGGAGTCTGCTTCTCCCTCTCCCTCTGCTCCTTCCCCTGCTCATGCCTGTGCACACTCGCTCCCACATTCGCTCGCATGCTGTCTTTCTCTCTGGCATGCTCTCTTTCAAATAAATAAAATCTTTAAAAAAAATTAAACTCTGCTGAGTGCCTGGGTGGCTCAGTGGGTTAAAGCCTCTGCCTTCGGCTCAGGTCATGATCCTAGGGTCCTGGGATCGAGCCCCGCATCGGGCTCTCTGCTCAGCAGGGAGCCTGCTTCTCCCACTCTCTCTGCCTGCCTCTCTGCCTACTTGTGATCTCTCTCTCTCTCTGTCAAATAAATAAATAAAATCTTTAAAAAAAAATTAAACTCTGCCATCAAAAAACTTGCCATCCACAACCAGACAAAGCCCAGAGATAGTAAAAGGAAGGAAATGGTAAATATCAATATGGTTACAGACGTATAGATGAAGGAACAGAAGAGAAAACCCAGCATTCCCACACTTAGATGGTCAATTAGTCTACGACAAAGGAGGCAAGAATATACAATGGGGAAAAACAATCTCTTCAATAAATGGTATTAGGAAAACTGGACAGTTACATGCAAAAGAATGAAACTGGACCACTTATACTTTACTTACACAAAAATACACTAAAATGGATTAATGATATAAATGTGAGACTCCTGGAAGAAAATATAGGCAGTAATCTCTTTGACATCAGCTTGAGCAAGGTATTCATGGATAATGTCTCTTCAGACAAGGGAAACAAAAGCAAAAATAAACTATTGGTAGTAATATAATAAGAAAACTTTTGCACAAAATAAGAGAACTTTGGCACAGCAAAGGAAACCATCAACAAAAGGAAAAGCAATGAATGGGAGGAGATATTTGCAAAACATATATCCAATAAGAAGTTAACATTCAAAATATATATAAAGAACTTACACAGCAGCATGCCTTGCTGGCTCAGGCAGTAGAGCAGGTGATCTCAGGGTTATGAGTTCAAACCCTTATTGCTCTAGGAGCACACTTAATTAAAAAAACAAAAAACAGGGGCACCTGGGTGGCTCAGTCAGTTAAGCATCTGTCTTCAGCTCAGGTCATGATCCCAGGGTCCTGGGTTCAAGTCCCAAATTGGGCTCCCTGCTCAGCAGGGTGTCTGCTACTCCCTTTCCCTCTGCCCCTCCATCCACTCATGCTCTCTCTCAAATAAATAAAATCTTAAGAGAAAAAAAAAAAAAACCTAGGAAACAAAAACAGTTAAATAGCTCAACACTAAAAAACCAAATAATCCAATTTAAAATGGGCAGAGAGGGGCGCCTGGGTGGCTCAGTTGTTAAGCATCTGACTTTGGCTCTGGTCATGATCCCAGAGTCCTGAGATCAAGCCCCAAATCGGGCTCCCTGTTCCACAGGAGGCCTGCTGCTCCGTCTCCCACTCCCTCTGCTGTGTTCCCTCTCTCTCTGCCAAATAAATAAATAAAATCTTAAGAAAAAAATGGGCAGAGTACCTAAATAGATATTTTCCCAAAGACATACAGATGGTCAACAGACATGAAAAGATGCCCAACATCACTAATCATCAGGGAAAAGCAAATGAAAAGCACAATGAGATATCACCTCACATCTGTCAGAATGACTAAAATAAAAAGCACAAGAAATAAGAAATTTTGCTGGAAATGCGGAGAAAAAAGAACCCTTGTGGCCTGATGGAGGAAATGCAAATTTGGGGAGGGCAGGGAATGTAAATTTTGGGGGCAATCACTGTGGAAAAGAGTATGGGTGCACCTTAAAAAATTAAAAATAGAAATACCATATGATCCAGTGATTCCATCACTGACTATTTACTCAGAGAAAACAAAAACACTAATGAGAAAAAATATATGCACCTCTGTATTTATTGCAGCATTATTTATAATGGCCAAGATATGGAAGCATCATAACTGTTCATTAACAGATAAATGGATAAAGATGATATATATCTTTATATACATACAATGGAATATTTCTAAGCCATTAAAAAGAAGGAGATCTTGCCATGTACAACATGCATGGGCCTGGAGGGTATTATACTAAGTGAAATACATCAGACAGAGAAGGCAAATGCCATATGATTTCATTTATATGTGGAATCTAAAAAACAAAACAAAAAAACAGACTTATAAATACAGAGAACTAGTGGTTGCCAGAGGGGGAGAGAATGGGTGGGATAGGTGAAATAAGGAGAAAGGGATTAAGAGGTACAGACTTCCAGTTGTAAAAGACATAAGCCACAAATCTGAAAAGCATAGCATAGTGAATACAGCCTATTATATTATAATAACATTGTATGGTAACTACACTTATTGTGGGTGGTGAGCATCGCATAATGTATATTAGTGTGGAACCACTAGGTTATACACCTGAAACTAACATAAAATTGTTCAATAACCATTATTTTATAAAAACCTTACCATCCAGGAAGCGAGATGAATGTAGTATTAACTATAGAGCTGTGAGGTTCCAATGCAATGTGGCAATTGAGTGAGGCATTAATAACTTGGAGGATGATCACTTGCTCAAAGTTGACAATTTGGAAAATACAGAAAAGCACAAGCAAAAAAAAAAAAAAAAAAAAAAGCCACATCTAAAGAAAACAAAAAGCACCTGTAATTCTCCCGCAAAGAGAGAACCACTATTAATATTTTGGGTCTTTTTTCACATGCTTTTGTTTTTGCTTTTCAAGTTAGCTTAAAAGCAATACATACATATGGCAAAAAAAAAAAAAAAAAATTATAGCCGTATAAAAAGGCATACCACTTAAAAAGGTAAAAGATCTGCACCCCAGAAGTAGGTTGAAATAAATTTCTACACCAAGATGGAGTCCCTCATGCCAGGTATCACGTCGGAAAACCAAACTTTGGCCGCCTTTAAATTCTTCTTGACCGGAAACAGTATACGCTGTCAGCCAATCCCCAAAAGCTACGTCAACGCTGGGCTCCAAACTTATTTCCTTGTTCCTTGACCTTTCTAAATAAGGTCAGATGTGCGATTCCAGCCCTGTTTCTGAGTTGCTGCGTCTACTGCTATGTAAAATTCGCTGTTGCCCAAACACCCTCTAGTAGAGGGCTCCATTGCTTCTGAGACACTGTGTACTCCCAATCCGTGATTATTTTTCCTCAAAGGAAGGACATCAAGCTAGTTACGGAATTGTTTTGTCATTTGACAGGTAACAACTTCGTTGTGAGTCTATCTGCAATTAAAACTGCATTCACATGTCTGTTTACCCCTTAAAATGGTTACAGATGTAATCACATTATTAGGTGTCCTGCATCTTCCTTTCGTCAACCGCACAAAGGAATCTCTCTCCTTAGAAGAGCTGGACCTATTTCTTACTGCGTTCAGGGTTGCTACACCACAAGCGTGGGGACTGGGCAGGCGGTGACCCCAGCCGGCAGATGGTAGGCCATTTTGGGCGGCGGGGTGGTTGGGGGGCGGGGGGGAGACAGAGGGATAAGCCAGTTTGGTTGGTATGTAGGGTATCATCAGGATGACTCGAGGCCAGAGGGTGGGCATAGTATTCCAAACCAGCACTTGAGACTCCCTTTACTTCTTGTACTGGAAAAGAAAAAGGAAGTCAGCTGATTTGGGTAAGGAACGGATTGTCTGAAGAAGAGCTTAAGAGGCTGACTGACCAAGGGAGCTGTCCAGGAGGGAGCTGACATTTGAGTCCAGAACTGAGAAGGGACCTAGGTCGGAGAAACTGTAGGGTTGGTCAGTTTTCGGCAGCCTGATCTTCACTGTTCCCTCCCCTCTCTAAGAGAAGGCCTCTCTTTAGCTACGTCCCGCGGAGGAACCTTTTTCCTAGGCCCTGGGGGTAGGGCAGGTCCTTGCAGCGGGATACCTAACAAAATCCCTCAGTCCTTCCCCGCCCCCGCGCCGCGGGAATTCTGAGATCTGGGCGGGCCTTCAGCTAGGCGCTCTAAGGAGCAGGGATAGGGGAATATGGCCGCCAATCAGACCACCCGGATACCCGGATGTGAAGCGGTGCGCGATACAAAGGCGAGTTACCACCCAGCGCTTCGTCAGGTACAGTGACCAATAAGCACTTCTCGGGTGATAAATGACAGGAAAAGTAGCCATTTACAAACTAGTTTCTCTCACGCATGTGGAAATTCTCTTGCTTAGTCTAACCCACTACTGATTGTGATTGGGCAGAATTGTGAAGAGCGGTAGAACTGTCTAATTAGAAGGGGAGCGAGAAAAGTCGCAGCCAATAGCACGACTCTCGGGAGCGGGGCGGGGTCTAGGCCTTCGCCTCGGCGGCGGAGGAGACGCGGGGGCCATTTTGTGAAGAGACGAAGACTGAGCGGTGCGGCCGGGTCGTCGACCTCGAGCAGCAGTTGGCTTCTCTACGTAGAACCCGGGAGTAGGAGATTCAGAATCGAATCTCTTCTCCCTTCCCCCTCCTGGTAAGTGGAGGGGGCAAAAGCAGGGCAGGCGCTGGGTTCCTCGGCTAGCGCGAGGGGCTGTGGGAGAGAAGACGAGGGAACCCTACCCTCGGTAGAGTAACCAGGCCTCCATTTATTCTCTTTGCGTTGGGGCGTTAGGTATTATGCCGGAGAGAGTTTTATAGGCCTCAGCCCTTGCGCAGATTTAACCTAGTGTCCTCTAGGCCACGATCGGAAGGGAAAACGTCCTTTTCCTTTTTCGCCCTTTTTCTGTGTTAACGGCTGCTTTCCTTTCTTTTTCTACGACCATGAGGACTCCGAGAGAAAGATGAAAGGCAAGATCGAGATGCTCATTAATACAGTTGGAAGTTCACGTAGCGCTGATGCCTCCTGTTAAATTTAAAAATTGGGCGGGGGATGGGTAAGGGTTACTAAGTAGATAATTGCACCGCGAGCCTCTAAATTCCGGAGCGTACCGCAGGGCATAAGAGTAGTAAATATAACAATAGATTTAATGTTTTACTGATTACTTTTTATTTTACACCTCTTTGAGAACGGCGGACCTCGAAGTAGTTATTTTCAGTTGTTTTTAAAAATATATTGTAATCTCATTTGCATATTAACAGTAATAATTAAAGCTGGCTTACTTTTTATCTGCAGGTTACAAATCACTTGAAATATATAAGTTAGTGGAACTTTGCTTGAGGTAGGTACTACTATCTTTCTCAGGAACTGAGGCACAAGAGTGTCGGTTGCCAGGGTCATAATAAATCAGTAGCGGAACTACTAAGGAATTTGACTCTACTACGTTAGTCAAGTGGTTTACCTAGCTGTTGGAATAGTAGGTATTGATAGTACTGTATTTGAATCTTTGCAAGAACCTAATCATGGCAGTCATTCCAGTGAAAACTGGAAATTCCCGAACTGCACTTGGGAAAAATATTTAATTACGAGATTGGCAGTTATTAATTTAACATTCTGATATAAACTTAAAGTTTGACTTTCAGGATATTCTGGCATTGATTTTCTGAAATACTTGTTTAAAAAGTATGTAGTTAACACATACTTTTTATTAAGGTATTATTGTGCCCACTATTTGCTAAGTCCTGAAGCTAATGAAAAATGTTAAGTTTATAAAAATTGCATAGGTGTTTCTAAGTAGTATCACATTGACTTACCCAAGAAATCGCCTTTTTTTTTTTTTTGGATACTTGGGGAGGGGGAAGATTTCTTTTTCATAGTCTGTTCTCTCCCAAAAACTGTTAGCAAAGTTTAAACCAATACTGCAGGATAAATTCATCCCTTAGGAAACCAAGAGACGGTAAAAGTACTTTTATATGGAATAGTTAGTGTATTTGTCAATTTCCTCACCATGTGGCTAATGTAATAGGGATTAAAAGGTTTGCTCTTCAGAAAAAATATAAACATGTATATTACATGGGCTTAAAACTAAAGTTTATCACTACAGAACTGTTAGAAATAAGGGCAGTGATTAGTTAAGATTTAAGTCATAAACATAATAAAAATATTGTTAGCAAATAAAGAGAAATGTAAGAAATCATTTAATAACAATTGGTAAAAATTGAAATTAATTGAAGGGCACTGTTCTTGCCTTGACCTGTGAGAAATAGGGTTTCTTGGGAACAACATGTTCGGAGGAAACAGCTAATTAGAGTTACTATCCATCTGGAAAGATTGGGCCTCAGAATTAAGGTCTGAAACAGTTTTAGAGGTGCAGATAGGTTTTAATAGCATTTTCATGTTGCTAAAAAGGAAGGATTTAAGGAGGATGACTAAGTTGCAGCTCTTCTGACCTTTTTGTGTTCCCCATGCTGGTTGCAATGGAATGTTTGGTGTTGGTTGCTATTCCTTCTATAGAGAATTTAAACATTCCCTTAAATTTGTGATTAGGTCTTTAGTGGGTTTCAGCATGCAGTTTTGTTTTGGATGGAATTGCTGTAAGAACAAACAAGGAATGAATCCAGAATAGTTAATCTAATAATAAAGATTATATTAAGTAGTCGTTATCTAAGATGTTAACTTGGGAGTGACAGTTGAAAGAATCTTGGCCTAAAAGTTCAGAAAACTATTTCCATCTTCCTCGCCCCCGTTACTGTATTAGGTAAATCAGCCAAACGTTATGGATTTCAGTTTTATATTTAGAAGGGGGCCTAGACATCTTACCTATTTTCTTAATTTCTACTCAAGTCATTTGTTGTCAGAAGGCTGGAAAGTGTACCGAAAGTTTTATAAAAAGCAGTTTTATATATTAATGATTGTATTCTATCTTAATTAGTCTTGAAGTAACTCTGATTGTCATGGAGAACATCATTTGCTCATGCTTAATATGTGTATTCAGATTGGGCTCAGGGAAGATGATGGTTTTTACATGTTAGATTTATTACAGGATTGACAAGTGAGAACCAGCACTATTTGACGTAGCATAACTGCAAGTGTCATCAGTTACTAGGAAGTTGGGGCTTAAAGGGGGGAAAAAGGATTACTATAGGGTTTTTTAATTCACTTGGTGCATTTACTGTAAGTCAGGATGTTCCTGGATTTACTTTATACCACTCTTACTTATGGGATAGAGGCTCCCCATTAACCTCTCATAGTGGTTCTTAAATGTGAACCAACAGTAGAATCCGTAAGGGGAATGAATAGTTAAAGTAGATTACTGGGCTGCACCACCAGAGTTTCTAATTAAGTCTGGTGTGGGCCTCGGAAATTTGCATTTCTAATAAGTGCCACTTGGTGCTGGTTGGCAACCCTCAGTTCAAGAACAGTGCTTTAGAAGAAGGGATCCAAACCTTCCAGAGGTTTGACGAAGTATAATTTAGGTATACTGTTAATTGCAAAGCATTTTAATTAGGCACTAAAATTGTTCAGTCTTTTTTATGAGGTGGTAGCTCATCAGTTTAACGTAACTTTTTAGAAGACCTCTTCATGACTTTCAGAAACAGATGCTTCTTTTCATATTAACTTTTTGGTGAGCGTTTTGTCTTGTGACGTCTGTGCAGAGGATTTATTTGTAGATGAGCCACAAAAGTTACTTAATACACCCTGAAGATTTTGAGTACCGGGTTCAAGCTGTGACTTAAGTAAGAAAATTGAAAGTTTCACCATAACTGGACATCACAAACACTGCTGTAGAGATAATATTCAACTATGTATCTTTTCTAGAACTTTTTATTTTGTACACTTTTTTAAAAGATTTTATTTTTTAAAAGATTTTATTTATTTGATGGAGAGAGATACAGCAAGAGAGGCAGCACAAGCAGGGAGAGTGGGAGAGGGAGAAGCAGTCTTCGCACAGAGCAGGGAGCCTGAATGCCAGGCTCTTTCCCAGGACTCCTGGGATCATGATCTGGGCCGAAGGCAGATGCTTAACAACTGAGCCACCCAGGTGCCCCAAAGATTTTATTTTTAAGTCCCTGTGCCCACTGTGGGCCTCAAACCACAACCCTGAGATAAAGAGTCCCACACTCCTCTAACTGAGCCATCCAGGTACCTGTATAGTTTGTACATTTTAACTCATCAATCCAAATGTAAAACTAATTTGCAGGTTAACACTTAAACTGATCTGCTATTTGGAAAAAATTTATACTTAAAATTTTAGAGGTTTAGTACTTGTTCTGTTGATGTAGTCATTCACACATAATTGACTCAAGGAACACTTTTTAATTTTAATTTTTTGAAGGTTTTGTTTTATTTTGTTTTGTTTTTTAAGAGGGATAAGGGCAGAGGGAGTGGGAGAGAATCTTAAGCAGGCCCCATGGCCAGTGTAGGGCTTGAGCTCATCGTGACCTGAGCTGAAATCAAGAGTCAGGTGCCTAACCGACTGAGCTACTCAGGCGCCCCTGACCGCCCCCCCCTGCTTTTTGAAGTAAGCTCTGCACCTAATGTGGGGCTTGAACTCATGGCTCTGAGATCAAGAGTCACATGCTCTACCAACTGAGCCAGCTAGGTCCCCCTAGTTACTGACATTTGTAAAGGAGATTAAAACCATTTGGCTGAATATTGAATTGTGAGGGCGGTGATTTCCTTATTTTCTCAACCTACAATCTAATTGAAAATCTTTTAGCTGATGAAACGGCCAGTCTGTCATGCATGTTATTTTTTAGTGTGGTGTTGTGTGAGATTCTTAGTTCGTATCTTGAAATAAGCTGCATATACTAGCTTATAAACAGACCACAGAAACAAATTCATTAAGGACCATAATTTTCACTTACTTTATGACATTAAATATTCAGTAACTCTAGTAATCTTTTCTCCTTCATTTGGTTTTTCATTCTGTCACTGGAATGATGAGCTCCTTACTAAATTTTATGATGTGCTCCTTATTTAAACATCTTCCCCTATAGAACCTATCAGGTCTTGTTTTGATGATATACAGGTTTTGAGAATAGATGTCATCTCTAGTATGTATCTTCATGATAGACCATTCCCCTTAATAATTTTGATACTTGACATTTGCTCACTTCTTCATCCCTGTTGGCCTGGTTTTTCTATAATTTCTTTGTCCAAGCTGCTGATTATCATGATGAATGTTCGTAGATTTTTGTTTTTAAGACCCTTGTGGGAATATAGGCCTATATTTAGTAAATTTTTGTCACCTATTGATAAAGAATTGTGAAGACAGTCACTGGTAGAGGTGATGGTTTTATAGAGGCTTTCCCTTCCCAGTGTAATGTTAATGCTTTACCAAAATGTGTTACATGCAATGGACAGATATTTCTGTCTTGGGGGTTTAGGGCACAACATTTCTGAGGAACTCTGACTCAATCTGTCCCTTCTCCTTTCACAGGGCAGCAAGGCGAACCCCATCCCTACTCACTGGAGCTCAGCTTTGATTTTTAACCTCCCTTCCCCACCCTTCCAGAACACACACATTCCTATTCCAAAACTGATTTTATAAAGACATTTTAAACATAATGATGCAACTTGGTGTGCACTACTGCAAATTTACAGGTGTTTTTTTTTTTTAATTGTTTCCAAAACGGGACTTGGATTTAAGATGTAATTTTTAAAATTTCTATTTCTATTTTTTCTGCAGCAGTTGGGTTAGAGGAGGAGGAGCCTTTTAGCCTCTCATAAACTGACCTCTCTACTTCCTCGTGTATTTTTAAGATTGATTGATGATGTGGAAAGGGCTTTGCTTGTCTGCTACTGAGAACTTTACCCTTGCGGTTTTTGTGGAAACTGCTTTTGGAAAAAAAAAAGAAATGAACTTTACTGACTTGACATTTTTGCACCTCCCGTTTTTCTAATCTGGGCTATTTTTATTTTTGTTTTTTTACAGTGAGATTTTTTTGATCTTCAGCTACAGTAAGTTATTCCAATTTTTTTTTTACATTTTTCCTGACTTTCCGCTGATTTCCTTTTTATTGTTGTTACTAGTTACTATTATTATTATTATTATTATTATTATTATACTTAATGATGGTGATGATGATGATGATAATGACACTGATGATTTTTAACCGGATTAAAATCGAGTTTTTCTGAATGTTCATAAGAATTTCTCCGGCCTCCTGATTGACTTCAGAGTTTTGCATCTTGGGAGAGAAAGTGAAGGCATTAGCATTTTTAAGTGGATTGATCACATAAACCTTTTCTCTCCCAACCCCACCCTTGCCCTCATCCCCTCCCCCAGGCTCGAAAGAATTTTACTGGCTGTTAAGTCTGTGACCTTATTTTTCCTGATCTTTAACTTAACTGTTTTAGAGCATCTCTGGACGTCTGTATTTTTAATTTTTTATTTTTGTTTTTTTTATTTTTAATCTTTCATTTGTTAAATTTTTAAACTGTGCTGCAATAAAATGTGTGTGGTACTACTTAACACCTATGATGGTGATGGCATTTTCCCAGAAAGCCATTTTCCTCCTGTTACCCTTGAAATCCCATCCTGCTTTTCCTGTACACTACTACCCCTCACAAACCACAAGCTGCAGCAACATGGATGCCCAGCCTGGAACAGCAGCAGCCAGGATGACCTGGAGCCAGGGGGGCCTTCGGAACAGATGCACACCCTTCCCGGGTGATGGTAAGAGGTGTGAGGTCCACTTGGTTTCATTGCAGAGACTAGGAAATACACCCATTTAAGTCTAGTTGATACGGTGTAGGTGATAGCTTTTGGAAATGTTTGGATTAAGGTTTTTTTTTTAATCTCAAGAGATGTTCCCCAAGGGATGCCAGCTCAGTTTTTTAAAAGCTGATGGAATTAGAGGTTGTAACTAACTTGGGCTGACAATTTTTGATAATTGGAAAGAGGAGCTGAAGTTTACATAAACTTCAGAATGAAAATGGTTTGTCTTAGATAGCAACAAGACAAGGACACCTTAGGAGGGTTTATTCTTAGATTGTCGAAAATGAGTAAAAATTTTCTGTTACTCAGAATAATCTTCCTTGGGTTTGTGACAATAGTTTTTTGATTGTATTCCATTTAGGCTATTCTTACTGAAATTTAACATGAATCAAACCACAAAAAACCTCCTGTAATAACTAAAACGCTTTTTCTTGGGAGGATTTTTGTTTTACTTTGTTCTAAGGGTAGGTAGATTGTTAATCTCAAAAAGCAGTGAAACTTTTTTAATCTGTATCCAAATCAGGAAATACAGAGTTGATCTCTCTTTCAGTGATAACTTGTGGCCCAGCAGATGTTAGGGAATGTGTTCTCTAGAGTAATCGGAAAGAATGAGGATCTAAAGAATTCAGAATTTAGCAACCTGTAGTATTTTAAAGATTTATTCATCCATTGTGGGGGGGCAAAGGGAGAGAGAGAGTCCCAAGCGGAGTCCATACTTGAGTGCAGGGCTTGCAAGCATAACCTGAAACCAAGAGTTGAATGCCCAGCCGACTGTGCCACTCAGGCATCCCACAACATCTAGTATTTTACTGACTATGGTGGAATATTGTGGTAACTCACTATAGAGCTGCTGTAGTAGATTTCGAGCTGAGGGAAAAAGTAAAATGATCTTTAAAGGCGTAGTCAGTGCTGTGTATTGCTAGGATTAATTACATATTTCTGTTTTTCTTGTACTAAAAGAAAATCCACTTAAAAAGTGAACTCTGAAGGCATCCTCAAAAGAAAACAGAATGGGAGAAAGTGATATAGAATGTTCTGAGGTTATCTAGAAGAGGAATGGAAAATGTCTTTTATAGGTCCAAGTATTATTGATGTCCTCTGTTAAATGAAAGCTGTTTTTCCTGTTACTCTTCTGTCATTGTGTGGCTCCTGTTCACTGTCAGTCCCTTGTTTTTTTGGTTGTTGTTTTTTAAAGATATTTATTTATTTATTTGACAGACAGATCACAAGTAGGCAGAGAGGCAGGCAGAGAGAGGAAGGGAAGCAGGCTCCCCGCCGAGCAGAGAGCCCGATGCGGGGCTTGATCCCAGGACCCTGAGACCATGACCCGAGCTGAAGGCAGAGGCTCAACCCACTGAGCCACCCAGGTGCCCCAGTCCCTTGTTAATCTTACAAATTCTTGTGGGTCGTGTTCTGTTTTGCGGAGATACAAAAAGGTATGGTAGTTTTTCAGGGACTTAGAACGTTGTGAGGGAGACAAATGAATTAAGACAGTGTCATGGTGTGATTAGAGGTAAACAGAACTTACAGAAGCATGTAAAAATGAGTACCTGAATGACTCTTAAAAGGGCAGGAAATGCTTCTAAGGGAAAGAGAACTGAACCTTAGAATTAAGACCAGATTATAAAAATTAAAAAAAATTTTTTTAAAAGATTTTATTTATTTATTTACTTGACAGATTACAAGTAGGCAAAGAGGCAGGCAGAGAGGGGGAACAGGCTCCCCGCTGAGCAGAGAGCCAGTTGTGGGGCTCCATCCCAGGACTCTGAGATTATGAGGCTTAACCCACTGAGCCACCCAGGCGTCCCTAGATTGTAAAAATTTTAATGCCACGCTAAGGAGGTTGTATTTTATCCAAAAACTGTTGGTGAGCTGTTGAAAGGTTCTAAACCAAGGGAGTGAGATCAGTTTTCCATTTTGGAAATGTCACTCTGTTGGTGTGGAAATGGAGAGTAAAATTGGAAGTTAGGTGATAAGGAACATAGTAAAATACACAGAAAAATAATGAGCTGGCCTGGTCAAAAGCAGTGATATTGGAACTAGGGACTAGCTTATAAATGTAGGAGGATTTGGTAGTCCCTGTGATAAGGAGGAGCAAGGATTTCAGCTGACTCCCAGGATCGATGTTGGGTAAACAAAGGGAGCAGATTGGGGTAAGGGTAGGAGAAAGCAATTTAAACAATTGGTTTTTGAGATGCTCCTGGAACATTTAAGTAGAGATTTTATTCATTAGATATCTGAGTGCTTATTCTGAAAATCCTCATTAGGCTGGGGTATCTGGGTGAACAAAACCTATTGCCCCCTGTCCTATCGGGTATTACAGATCATTGAGAGGAGAAATAGAATGACAAAGAGCACTGTATAATTTAGAAGGAAAAGAACAGAATAAGGTTATAGAAAGGGAACCAAATTTAGAATATGGAGGTGGGAGGGGAGTGTACTGCCAGTGAAATGACCTTGAATTGATGTTGAAATTAAGATCCAGAAGTGGATTATTCTACTTGAAAGCACAGGTAATGGGGGGAAATCTTGGCCTCAGAGCAAAAATTACTACTGGAAAGTAGGCACCAAGGATGCATAGAATAAGACACAGAGTTGGAAAGATGAAGTGGTTAGCAAGCTTGGTGTACTGGTGGTCCTTGTAGGGTCCTTATTTAATATCTAGATTGTCTTGGGAACAAAAGGAGTCCTTTGAAGGACACTGGAGAATGCTTGAGATCCTATTTGGAATTTCCTTCTGGCTGTTGTCTGGGGAATGAGGACAGTTTAAGGAAGACACTAAATCAAAAGACCTATCTGGGTAGGTCACTATCTTTTAATCTCTCCTAGGCCTGGGGATACTCACCTAGTTGTTTCAAATGAGTTTTGTGTGTGTATTAATGGACAGATATAATTAGTTTGAAGAGGACAGGTTGATCAGACACTAGGATACTGATTACTTCTCTTAACACCCCATTGGATAAGACATGATATGATCACTTCCCAGTTTGAAAGGAAAAATGAAGTAGATCCTTCCTTTTGGAAGTAATAATCTGAACACCTTACTGTGTATATGTCCATCATTGTTAATGTTCTTATATCTTCTTAGTCATCATAACCTTTGTGTATTATCATTAGTGTAATGGAGATGAGAGCACTGAAACACAATTTTTAAAATTTGCTCAAAAGTTAGACATACCTAATAAATGGTGACACATGGAGTCAACCCAGGCAGTTAAGTCTACAGATTTTAACTCTTAATCATATTAGATGGACTGTTCTTTACTTGACATAATGAAGTATTTTTGAAAAACATATCCATTTGGGGCACAGTTAACCCTCCCCTGAAAAAAAAAACTGCTTCAGATGACGACTTTTCTTTTTTTCTTTTTTTTTT